GTATGTCCTTTGAAGAGATTGATAGCTCAAGGTAAAGTGAAGCAAATTTGGGTTCCAAAAGGAACTTTAAGCACTAACCCCTATGGACCCAAGCAAATTTGGGTACCAAAAATCAAAACTTAATTTTGTTTTGTAGGAAAAGTTGATGGCAAAGTCATAAGAAGAGTAAAGTTGATCTTGATAAAGACTTATGTCTCAACAAGAATGTTGGAGTGAAAGTGCAAAGAGAATTTGTTTTTGAATGCTCCACTCATGTGCTCAAATTGGTATCATTTATCTTAATGCATTTATTCATTAAGTATAATCACATTAGCATGACTATTAATTATTGGTTTATGTGTGCTCACTCTTTGATACATATGCTTGTTGAGTATGATTCCATTTGATGTGTCTTTCCTAGTGCTTGATATGATTCTTGAAATTAATGAATTTGATTATTAGAATTTGTGTACCTTGATTATATTCATGCTATTTGATGACGCATACATTGATATATGACTAAAATTGCATGATTTAATAGTTGATGTTCAATTTAAACTTAGTTAAATGAAGAAATATCAACTTAGGTACAGTCCCTTCAAAACAGCCCCAAACTTTCTGTTTGTCCCAATCAAGACCAGTAGAGCTGGGTCAACCATTTTCACAGCCGGCTCAACCCAAAAACCCGAGAGTCTTCTCTCTCTAGAATTAAGCCGGCTCCAGGACTAGAGCCGACTCTCCTGCAGTTTTTTTAAAGCCTCGGGTTTCTCTCTCCTCGCACAAACAAGCCCATCCCTTAAACACTCAAATACCATCGAATCCTTGCCTACCCAACACAAAACCTCAAGCTTTTCACTCCAATTTGTGTGGGATTTGCTGTATTTTTGGTGTGGCTGCTGTGTTTTCTCTCTCATGGCTTCAAGAAGGGCTGGAAGTAAAAGGAAACAAGTGGGTAGTTCTAGCACCGGTGGTCAAGCTCAAGAAGAAGGTAACATCTCCCAATCAAATCTCTTTTTGGATACCCAAGCTTCTGCAAAGTATGAAATTATTAAGAATATGGCTGTTTTATCTTGCAATTGTGTAAAATTCAGTCAATTTCCTCAAGGAGATATGCGTGATATTGGCATGACTTTTGGTATTGATTGTCTATGATTTTGATGATTATATGCTCTTATTGAAGGGGAGTTTATTGGTTGATGATTGTAGTCATGAATTTGGTTGTCTATGGTGCTATATTGATGATAATTGATGATTATATTCATTACATATTATTGATGCTTTAAAGGTTGATAGCATGAATTAAGGGGGAGTTTATTGCCTATGTTTATATGCTTTTTGATGAATGAAAAAAAGGGGGAGAAAGTATGCTGAATTCTCATAATTTTCTAGAATGTCTTAATGTCTTAATGTCATTTTCTTGGTGTTGAAATTTTGAGGTCAATATTGAAGTATATATGCTTTCATGATCAAAGTGTTTTGCCATCATCAAAAAGGGGGAGATTGTTGTACCTATGATGTTGATGATTACAAAACACATTTGAGTGACTAATTGATTATTTAAGTGTGTAGTTAAATTGCCAATATACTGCAAAGTAAGCAAAATGAGACTGCATTAAAAAAGGCTTAAAGGGTAAAAATATGCAGAGAGTCGGCTTAAGAAAATTGCAGCTGGCTCTAGGAAGAAAATATGCAGAGAGCCGGCTGCAGATTTTGTTGAGCCGGCTCTATAGGCTAGAAATTCAACTGCTATTTTGGCGCGCGTGGAAAATGGAAGCAGAGTCGGCTCTAACTTTGTAGCCAGCTGTGAGGGTGCATTTAATGCACAACGGTCGAGTTATTTAAAGATTATTTAATATGTTTAAAGTTGGAATCCTAAAGCCGGTTCTAGACTTTGCAACCGGCTGTGGAAGAAAACAGAATGTGCAGGAATCCCGCAAAGCCGGCTACAGAAATGGTGAGCCGGCTGTACAGAGCCAGCTCTAGGAAGCTAAGCCGGCTCTCCTAACAATCCTGCAACTCGAGCTTTGCGTCCTGCAAAGCATTTAATGACCCCCAACGGCTAGAAACGGCTATTTTCGAGTAAGGAGCTATAAATATGGTTGGTAACAGATTTGAAGAAATTTAGAGAGCATTATATTGAATATCTTTACCTACTAACTTGTGCTTTAACTAGAGATTTTGATCTTTGAGATATCTTTGTTTGTAATCCTCTTCTTGTGCTATTAGTAAGTGATCTTAGGGGTGTGTTGATTCCTTCAAGAGTGATTTGTAGAAAGGATCTTTGGGGTTTAAGTGTAAAGGGGTGAGATTTGAGAGAAACACCCTTCTTCTTGTAAAAGATTGAGTGGCTCCTTTAAGCCACCATTGTTTTTGTTAGTGGAGAGTGGAGGAAATCCTTGGTGAGTGAAGCTAAGGTAGAGGACTAGGCTCCAAGTGGTTGGACCGAACCTCTATAAAATCATTGTGCAAGCTCTTCTTCTTCACTCTCTCTTTAATTTTTGTTTGGTGGTTGCAAAGAGGTGAAAATTCTCCAACTCCAATTCACCCCCCTTCTTGAAGTGCATTGAGTCAACAAGACATACTACTACAATTCCTTAATAGCCAAAGTGAAGTTAAATCCAGCATTTCCCGGTCAAATGGCTGCATGATAAATACAGTGGACATGCCTACACCTGATTTGTCACACACAATTTCCCGATCTTGAAATTATCACCTAAAGGGACACGTCACACTCTGATTATCCTGTTAAGCAAGCCACGTGGACACCTCACTAAGGCCCATAAATACCCCCCATGGGCCATCTTAAAAAGGTAATTGAAACCAGCCTAAAACTCCTTTTTCCATTATTCTAGAGCTAGCTTAAGCCTTTTAACTTCTCTTAAGCTAGCTACCTAAAACTAGTGGATAGTAGGGTGAGTTACATGGCTCATATGTGAGTGTTAAGAACTCACTATAACCCAAAGTGCTTAGTCTATACTTAAAGATTTTCATAAACAATGTAGATAGGTTTAGTATCAATAACAACTCTGACAATAGCATATTCTTGAGCATATTTGTCATGGCTCTACTCTAGCACATTACTTAGTCAAGATAGCATGATATTTTACTATGAATGTAAAACTAATTTAATCAAAACTAAACCATGGACAAATCATTTCAAACATATATTTCTTACTCAACCTTTAACAATACATGCTCAGAGACACATACTAACGATCACAATGTGTCTATGGACTTCAGATATCAAATATATATATGTGGTGCACTTCACTTTAAGCCAGGGCCAACCATA